TCTATATCTGTGTTGGTTTTTGGGTTGTGTCATCTTGTGTATTAATAGTTGGTTGTTGTTTGCTATTATTGATTCTCTGTTCAAAGGTCTCCTTTTAGCATCTCTTGTAAGGTTGGTCTGGTTTTAACAAATTCCCTTAATTTCTGCTTATCTGGAAATCTGGTATCATCATATTTGAGGGCAATTTTGCCTGGTATATAATTCTTTGCTGGAAATTTTTCTCTTTCAGGCTTTTATATATGCCATCCCATTGCCTCTCACTTGCATGGTTTCTGCCAAGAAATCAAAGCTTATTTTTATTGGTTGTCCTTTGTAAGTAACTTTTCATTTTTCCTGTGCTGCTTTCAGGATTCTTTCTTTGTCTTTGCTTTTGATGAGTTTGATGATGATATGTCTTGGTGATTTTCTTTTGAGGTCTATCTTGTTTGGGTTCATTGGACTTCCTGCATGGATATATTCTAATCTTTCATTATATCAGGGAAATTCTCTTCCAACAAATCTTGGACAATTTTCTCAGGGGTTTTCTTTTTCCCTTCCTGTTCTGGAATTCATATTATAAAAAGGTTATTCCTTTTGATGGTATCCCACATTAACCTTAGGCTTTTTCATTTTGTTTTGATCTTTTTTTCTGATTGATCACTTTCCAAAGAAGTATTCAGTTATTTGTTTTCAATCTCATTAATTCTGTCTTCCATTGCATCAGTTCTTCTCTTTTGCCCTTTGAATGTGTTATCTATTTCTGAAAATTTAGTATTTATTTTCTGTATTTCTATCTGTAGATTTTGAATCATTTCTAATTTTTCATTTATTCTGTCATTTTGTTCTTTTATTTTCTTCCAAAATTGTTCTAGTGTTTTGTCTGTGTTTTCCTTAATTCTGTCAGTGTGTTCCTTGATCTGTCTCTCAATCCTTTGTAGATACCTGAATTTAATTCTTTTGAATTCTTTATCAGGGAGTTCCAATGCTGCTTCTTCCTCAGGGATGTGTTCTGGGTCTGTATCCTGCTCCCTTGTTTCTACCCCTTTATCTTGCTTCTTTTTGTAGACTGTGATGATCTGTTGTCTCTGAGACATTGTGACTTTGTTACATCTCTGTTAACTGTTTTTGAAGAGCAGTTAAGGGTGAGTCAGGCTCTTATTGGTGGTACTTTATTGTTTGACAGTTGGTGGAGAAGGAAGTGGCGGCTCTCAGTAAGTGAAGCTGCAGGAGTTGTGGGTGTGATTGTATTGTAGGGGCACTGTTGCTGTCTCCCATTCAGTTATACAAAAACAATAATTGAATAACCATCAAAATGTAAAAGCAAGTGACAAAAAACACACCATGTAAACACACAGGAACAATAACAAAAAGAAAAAAAAAAACTCTGCAATATCTAGAGACAGTGCAATATGAGAAAAAAGGTAGAGTAGGAAAATAATGAAGAAAAAAATGTGAAAAATGCAAAAGAACAAACAAGGAATGGAGTTAATCATGAGAAAGAAAAAAATGGGAACCAGGAACAGGGAAGAGAAGAAAAATTTGAAAACTAGAACCTGGGAGGGGAAAAATAAAAATAATAACAAAAAGGACAATAATAATACTAATAACAATAATTTAAAAATAGACCCCCCAAAAAATCTGGGGAGGGTGAGGCAGTGTACCCAAGCTCTGTTAGAGCACATAGACTGGGACAGAATTCCTGTTGGCCCAGGAGGTGGGTAAGAGTGAGAGATGGCCGCAACTCCATTCACTTAGAAGGTGTGGGGTATAAGAGTGTCGTAGTTATGTTTGTATGTCAACTTGGCTGGGTCACAATGTCTCAGAGACAGCAGATCATTACAGTTGAGTAGCTGCCTTTAGGTATGTGGTCTGCTTCCTGTATATAAGGAGAAGCTTTGGGAATGGTCTCTAGCTTATGGAACCCTACATGTAGCCATGTTGTTCAGCAGCCTGCCATGCTCTGCCAACCTTGGGACTTAACAATGGACTTAAATTAAAGGCCTGCCATGTGATTTGGTAATATCGAGACTGTGCCTTTTTACTTATCAATCTTGGGGATTCTCAGCCTCAGCAGCCAGTGGCTGTCTGAGTGAAGAAAGGCATCTAGCTCAGTGGGCCGGGAGCAGGAGGCAGAGCTGGACCCCAAGGTTGAGGGGCTTTCACCCAGCCCCTAGAGTCTGGCACTTTTAACTTGTACTTAAAGCCTCCAAATTGTAAGAATAAATTCCTGTTTTTTAAGGCTGTCCCATTTGTGGAATATTTCTTGTCAGAGCAGGACTAGGTAACCAGAGCAAAGAGTAACAAGGAGAATATCGCACCTTTCCAGTTGTTGGCATCTGGAATGTCCTTTTGGTTCCTGGCAAGTGGAGCCTATTCTTAAGTCCCTGGAATCTGGGAGAACGCTGTTGCTTTAAATATCCAAAATGTTTGAACAGCTTGTAAACCATCAAAATGGCTGCACCCTCCAGATAGGCAAAAGTCCACAGCTCAGCCCACCTTCCTCTTCACTGCTTTCCTTCTTATTCACCAGCCAGCAGTACAGTCCTCCATGTAGTCCCTGGCTAGCAGGGCCGATTTTTAGGTTAATTCTTAGGCCCTAACACCACTGGGCAATATCCAAGCTATCTGTGCCATCAGGATCACTCATAGCCCACAGCTCCACATGTCTCCTTTTTTGGTGTTTTCATGCAAGTTGGAGTGTAGTCCACTTCTATATCTTTCCCTTCAAAGCTCAGGGATCCAGGATTATCTTATGTATCTGTGTTAGTGGTTCCCATTTTCTTTGTTAAAGAGGGTCTGTGCAGTCAGTCTGCTTATTCCATCATCCTGAACCTCTTTATCATGCATTCTTTCAACCACAGCCTGTGCCTTCTATGATCAATCTGTTCACAAGATATGAAAAAGAGTAGGTTTACCAGCAGCCTCAATGAAAATTAAACTTTTAAGGTAGTCCTATACAGTTTAAAGAAAATCATGAGTTCCTTTCTCTGATAAAACAGTAAGAAAACTAAGAGACAAGGAGGGAAGATAACATTTATCACTGTCAAATCTAAAATAGGAAACAAAATATTTGAGTAACTGAATGAATGAAAGGGTACTCAGTAGTTCTGACTGGTTCAGGGTTATGTTTAAGTAAGCAGAGATAGAAAAGATGAGAGATCAGGGGAGAAGAGAAAGGCAGATAGAGGAAAGTATGGGGGCATTAGAGAGCAAAAAGAAAAAAGAGGAAAACACAGTCAGAAAAGCCAATATATAGGGCAGTGTTTTGTCATTTTTATTTTTTAATACCTTCAGGAAGGAACTAGAAGTGAGGGCTGGTAATCATTTTGCTGAGTACTAGGAACTTCCCGGCAATGAACCTAGAAGTTGGAGCAGCAGTTTCACAATCTATTATTACTTATCCCCTCCCCTTGCACTGAAGAAGTGCCTAGTTGCTTTCACTTTCCAGTCTGTGGTTTTTCTTTGTGGAAGAAGGAGGATATTGAGGCTGTTATCCATGGCAGGTAAGTTGGGGTGCTTTTATGACTAGGGGCCAGGGGCTTGGGTCTTAGAAAATATTTCATTCATTGCTCTGTGTCAGGCAAAAGTAACAAAAGAAGCGAGCCAATAGCAGACAATCTAAATTCTTTCCCTTATTAACTCTGTGTAACTTGAATCTAAGGAACCCTGGTGGCACAGCGGTTAAGCACTTGGCTGCTAACAAAAAGATCTGCCGTTTGAACATGCCAGCCACTCTGTGGGAGAAAACATGACAGTCTGTTTCGGTAAAAGACTTAAACCCCTATAGGGCAGTTCTACTCTGTCCTATCGGGTTGCTATGAGTTGGAAATCACTTGATGGCAATGGGTTTAGTTATTTGGTTAACTTGAATCTGGATGCATTGCCTTAGAGACAGTTGAGGGTGGTGGTCTCTAGGTGTTTCAGAGACAAGAAGAAGGTAATTCTTTTCTTTCAGTTTCTGGTAAGTAAAGACAGAAAGAGTAACGCAAAACATAAGAAGTTAATTGCATATCAGACATGTCTGGAATTTCCAAATGCATTCTGTAATCTTCACTGCTTCCTCTGACTCCAGATTAGTCATCTGGGTCATAAACACTACTCCCAGTGTCAGAGCCGAGAGGGTTGGCATTCCCATACTGTTGCCATTTCCAGTATTGAACTATACTTTTGAAGTGACTTTACAAGTGACTTTTTAAAGTAACTCTTTTTTTTTTTTTTTTTTTTCTGTAGTCCAGTTGCTTACTAGTCTAGATCAAGAACTCTTGGATTGGCTATTATGACTTTTTAACTGTCTTTCTAGCTCCAGAATTTAACTCCTCCAATCTATCCTGCTCACTGCTTTCAGGTAGTTTCTTAGCAAAGTTGAGAAAAAGTGCCTAAGAGATAGAGGCATGAGCTTTTTATGCAGCTGGTATTTAAACATGTGATCAGTTATCTAGCTTCATTACCTTCATTTGAAACGGAAGAGGTTGGACTAGATCAGTGATTTCTAAATATTTTAACATATCTGAATAATCTGTTGCATTTTTATTTAAATTCAGACAACTGCTTTTTCCCTGAACATGAATTGCTCAGTCTTAATATGGCTGATAGACTACCAAGTTTTGTAATCTTTAAATATCTGCAGACAGTGTTCATGTAGGTGGCCTATTTATTTCGGTAGCTTTCAGTTCTCAATTTCTGGGTATCCAGGAATGTAATTTTCTTATTCAGAAACACACATTGTGTTCTTGTTTGCCTTTTTTAAAAAAATCTAGAATTTTCACATTTTTTTATTATTTTTGAAAATATATTTATTTATTTTCCATTAATCCTTTGAAAACATAATTTCAGTTTCATATGAATTTTTTTTTCACTGTATTCACCTCACTTATAGTTCCTTGCTATTGTATTGCTTTATTCATTGGAATTTATCTGTATAATTCTTTCTAGTGTTTGTTTCAGCTTTTAGAATGCAGGGATTTGTTCTTTCTATTATCGTCTTCATTGTACTAATAAAGCACTGATCTGAAGAATGGCAATTTAAACTCACATCCATGATTTCCAGGCAAGCTTATCTCTCTAGTGATTGGAATAGAACCAGGAAATCATTATGTAATAAATGTGAAGAATATAAAGGTAATACACAATGGCACATTACTGGCTCAGTAAGCATAACCAACAAAGTTCGATCGACCATTGGTAACTAAAATCTCAGAAGGAACGATATCCTACATAGAATGTGTTAGAGCACTATATCAATTTGCCTTGGACCAGTAATGAGGTCTTAGTGAATTTTGTCTCTTAAATTATTTCCTCCATTTCCATGATCACTACAACATTAATTCAGTAATTATTATAGAACAAACAATTGAAAAAAAATATATCAAAAATGAATTTTTGAGCACTTAACATGTGATAGGTATGCTCTCTGAGTGAATATTTAAACTACCCAATTAGGTTGGTTCTATTATTCCCATTTCCATTTATAGTTGATAAAGTTACTTTCAGAGAGGGTCATGTGCCTTGAGTGTTCATAACTCTGACCATCCATTTCTCCTAAGAGCATCAGGCAAGCTTCCGTAAAGGAAATGGCCAACCTTCCTTCCAAGGAGTAGCTAGTGAGTTTGAACGCCAGCCTTCTGGTTAGCAGTCAAATGCATTCAGCACTAGGCCACCAGAGCGTACAATGAATGGATATATGAATGCATGCAATCTTTGTAAGGGCATTTTGAGGAGGAAGAGAAAAGGGCATTAATGTTGCTTTACAGCACACATTCCATGTGGATCATCATTATCATCATGGACTATGCATAAGAGAAAGGAAAATATAAGAACAGTGAAAAGCTGGGAAGTTAATATTAGGCCCAATGTCACAGATAGGAGATGATAAGCTACCAAAGAAAATCTTAACTGATAATGGATCATTTAAACACAGCCTTGTATTAATTTGATAAAGAGCACACTTACAATGAAAGAGTATTCTTGGGGAAATCATGAAATAGTTAGAAGGCACTTTTTTAAATATATTACATATCATAGGGAACTGTCTCCAAATTTAAGACAGAACTCTTAAAGTTGTACCTACAGTTGAAGGAATCTTTTTATTTTTGACAGAAGACGACCACAACAAAAAACCACTTAAGGTTTTGGAATCCGTGGGCAAAGAATTTTTGACTAGCATTTTGGATAATGTGGTGGAAAAAGATTACCTGAAATTGAAGAACACAGAAAAGAAAAAATTTTATGATGCCAAACCTAAAGACAAGGTTCGGGTCTTTGTGGATACCTTCCGACAGAAACAGCATGAGGCAGGCCAAATTCTTGTTGAAACCTTCCTTAACAAGGAAAAAGAATCAACCAGCACAGAAGGTAAGACCAGATCTGTTTACACTTGTTCATTATGTATATGAGACACAACGGTGTCGTAAATTTTCCAAGATCAATCGGCTCCAAGGTCCCTTCCATATTTTCTCTGATCCCCCATTTTTCCATTATTATGTTATTTTCATTAAACTATTCTTTTCCTTTTGTGGGTGGAAATCCAGAAGCTGAGTCCTTATGTTTAGGATGTTCGTAGTTAATAGCTGATCATGGAGACTTTCTTGTGAGAGATAAAGAAACCTGAATCCAGGTTATGTAATCTTGGGGACTATGTGAATTTGTACAAGTTTCTTAACTTCCCTAGGTATCAGTCTTCAGCATCTCTGATATGAGTCAGTACCAGTACCTTCCTCATAAGCCTTTGTAATAGTAATGCCAGGCACATACTGACAATTCCTGATGCATTAGCTCTCATCCACAACTCCCCCATGAGCTCTAGACGCATTAAGCTCTAACTGGATATTCAACATTTTCACCTGAATATTCACATAACTTCAGAAAACCAACGTATCTAAAATAGAACACTTTATTCCGTCATCAAATCTATTCAACTTCTAAACATTTACTATGTCAGTAAGTTGAATTCTCATCCACCAAGTATACCAAAACTATAACATAATATTTTCCCCCAATTAATAACAGCAGAGGGACTGGGCACATAGTAAAGCAAAGGCAAAAAAAAGAAAGAAAGAAAGAAAAAGAAAATCCCATGATCCCATGACCATCGAGTCAATTCTGACTCATAGTGACCCTATGAGGACATAGTAGAACTGCCCAGAAGGTTTCCCAGGAAGCAAATCTTTCTGGCAGCAGACTGCCACATCTTTCTCCCATGGAGTGTATGTTGTGTTCAAACTGCCAAATTGTTGGCTAGCAGCTGAATGTCTTAACCATTATGTCACCAGAGCTCCTATAAATATACAATGAATGTTGTTGTTACATACTGTCGAGTCGGACCTGACTCATAGCGACCCCTCCTTGGGTTTCAAAGGCAGTATCACTATGGAAGTAGATTGCCCCATCTTCCTTCTGAGGAGTGGCTGATGGGTTTGAACAACCAGCCTTTTGGTTAGCAGTCAAGTGCCTTAGGCACTATGCTACCAGAGCTCTCATATAATGAATAGACAGATGAAAAACATGCAGGCGATAACTATTAGTTATAATTATTATGTGGATTTAGATCTTTCAATTGCTCCCTCATTTCTGTGGGTTATAAAAATATAATCAGGACAATCCCTATAAAATCCCTAAAACTGTACAACCTTTCAAAACATTTGGCCCAGGTTGAATTTGGGCAATCTACTTCCATAATGATACTACCTTGGAAACCCAAGAAGGGGTTGCTATGAGTCAAATCTGACTCGACAACAGTGAATTTGATTTTTCTTTTTGGAGAACCTAAGTGTTCTCAGGTCCAAGTTCACCAGTGACAGACTCATTTTGCTACAAAATTTCCCTTGAAATTCTTGGCCCTGAAATACTAGAGTTTATCAATAATAGTAAACAATACTGAATGAAAGTCAATATAAACTCTAGACACTTCAGTACATTAAGTAAGCTTTTTCTATAAGCCCTCCTCTGCAAAGAAGGGACATTTCCACTAGCAGGAATAGCATGATGGATGTCTGTGATTGAGTCCTGACCTGAGTTCTCATGACTATCTAAACTGGTTTAGGACTTGCTCCAAACACTGGGATGAAATGGGAACATTGTGGTTTAAAAAGGCAGAGATAGTACAGAAAACAGGAGATCAGAACTAAAGTAACAAGGCTTCAGAAAGATTTTTGCAAACCAGGGATCACAAGGAGCACTAAACTCTAAATGGAAATAACCAACACTAAAGAAGTTCTAGTAGCATAGTGCCTAATGCATTTAACTGCTAACCAGAAGGCTGATGGTTCAAACCCACCAGCCACACCTCAGAAGGAAGGCTGGGCAATCTACTTCCTTACTGATATCACCTAGGAAACCCAAGGAGGGGTTGCTATGAGTCAGGTCCGACTCAATGGCACATAACAACAACAATTAGAGCCTCTCATAGGCACACAGGTATAGACTCTCTCAGCAGAGGTCTAATAGCTCCCTGAGCTCCATCAGTGCTTGAGGCCTACAAATGATCCCACCACAACTTGAGTACAATTTGAACCCAATAGGCAAGGAACCAAGGAGCTCTGGTAGCACAGTGCCTAAGATACCTGACTGCTAATCAGAAGGTTGGTGGTTCAAACCCACCAGCCACTCTGCAGAAGCAAGACTGGGCAATCTACTTCTGTATAGATTTACTGCTTCCAAAACCCAATGGGGGTCACTATGAGTCAGAATTGACCTGATGGCAGTGTTATTATTATTATTTTTTTAGGCCAGGAAGCTGGCTGAACTGGGGCTATTAGAATATGTAAAGGCCCTGGCCAGGCTTTGGACCTAGATTTAGTTCTGAGGGCTCCTCATAGTATTGAGGGCATGAAATGAGGAACAGGAAGAATCCAAGCTATTTATATCTTTGTTTTACTTACAAAGACTCACATATGCACATACTATGTTTCACACATTGTTATCATTTAGTTAGAGAGGTAATCATTCAAATTCCTAACAGAATTCTAAAATTAAGCCAATGGCCAGTTTCTGATTTTATCATCTTCCTGAGATTTTCATATCAGATAAAACTTAGAAATTAAATTCTGTACCTGAACTTTCTAATTCTTTCATTTCTTTCTGCCATATTATCACGCTAATGAGAAGTCACTTTGGGCAGTGCACTGAAGTATAATATTTCTTACACTGTGATGAAGAATCAGTTTTCAGTTAATTTTATTATTGGATATAAAACAGAACCCCCATCTAATTACCATTTTTACTTGAAAACCCTGTATCTCTCCATACCTGACCACACAGTGAATGTGCAAGAGGTGACATTTATTAAGCTAGATAATTCTACAATCTTGTAAATAAACTGCTACCTGAGAAAGGCTTTGATGAGGAAATAATGCTAAGGTACTTGACTACTAACCAGAAGGCTGATGGTTCAATCCCACCAGCAATTCCTCTGAAGGAAGTTTGGCAATCTACTTCCATAGTGATACCGCCTCAGAAACCCCAGGAGGGGTCACTATGAGTCGGGTCCAATTCAACGGCAAATAACAACAACAATAACAGGGAATATCTCAGGACTCAGGAGGTCTTTACAAGGGCAGAATTTTCTAGACTAAGAAGAGAGAGCATATGCTATTTTTTTAACCCATCAAAAGTTAGAAATGTTAATAAGGTTTGGTAACCTTATACTTGAATCCTGGAACTTGCTTCTATCCAGAATTGGGCCCATACTTTTCAGAAAGACATTTATAAATATACATATACTAATGAAAAATGAATTAATAAAATAAAAAACTCCAAACTCATTGCTGTCACATCTGTTCCAACCGATCCCCTCCTTGGGTTTCTGAGGAGATATTTCTACAGAAGTAGATTGCCCAATCTTCCTTCCGAGGAGTGGCTGGTGGGTTTGAATCATCTGCCTTATACATAGAGTGAAGTCTCGCCACCTTTGCTTCTAAGGAACATTTTGATTGCACTTCTTCCAAGAAATATTTGTTCATTCTTCTTACATTCAATGGCATATTTAATATTCTTTGCCAACACCATAATTCGAAGGTATGAATTCTTCTTTGGTCTTTCCTCATTCATTGTTCAGCTTTCATATGTATATGAGGCTATTGAAAAGATCATGGTTTAGGTCAGGCTCATGATAGCCCTCAAGGTGATATCTTTGTTTTTAATGCTTTAAAAAAGTTGTTTGCAGCACACTTGTCCAATTCAATATGTCATTTGATTTCTTGACTGCTGTTTCCATGGGCATTGATTGTGGATTAAAGTAAAATGAAATCCGTGACTACTTCAATATTTTCTCCTTTTGCCATGAAACATTTATACAGTTTAATATTACTTTCCTCATATAAATCAAATCAAATCAAGATATTATTTGCTTGGCTCATGTAACTGAATATAAATGTTTATTTCTGGACAGAAACCTCATTATATTAAAAGTTGATAAACTTCTATCTTGTGCTTTTGAATCTTTTCCTTCCTCATTCAGAAGATTTGGGCTTTCCCAGCCTCTTGCACAATCTCAGATAGGGCCAAGTGGTATTGAATCATACTCTGTTTCTCTGGGGGATAGTCCAGAATGACTCAAAATCAAACTTCTCCGATAGCCTGAGTTATTTCTTCACCTTCTCAAACATGGGTTGGAAATTTTAGTGTTAGTTGTATGGCAATTTGGAGACAAGGACATCCAAAACAAGTCAGGATTTCTAATAAAAATAGCCCCTTTCATCCTAGCTATAGCACTATAGTTACTAGATAGTATTTCTCCTTTAAACACCTGGCTAAACAATTTGGTGGGGAATATTTGAAGCTTTTTATCCCTGAATGGTTAACTTTTTAGACTGAGATTATTTCATGATCATACCTAGATGGTATGCAATTTAAGATTCTTGGAAGTGTCTTTGTTTGTTTTTGTGTGTTCATGTGTTTACATATATTGTAGGTGGAAGGGGACTATCACTCCAAATGAAATGCTATATCAATTGAATATGGTAAGCACTAGCCAAATGTGGCTATTAAACATAGGGTTATTAAGTGTTTAAATTGTAACTAGAACCACATGTTGAAATTATACTGTTTCAGATATGTTATATAAAAATAAATTATTAATATTAATTTTACCTATTTCTATTTTTCTAATGTGAATATCAGAAAATTCTAAATTGCACATGTAGCTCACATAATATTTCTAATGTATACCACTTGATAAGTACTTATTCAATCTTGCCAAAGACAATAGAGTCAACATGAATGAGAACTCCAGTAAAACCTTTGGAAAATCACAATGTGTTTTCTGATTAAGGAAAGCTCAACAGGCTCAAATTTGACCTCAAATCATCCAAGGGTTTCCCTCAGAGCTATTAAAACATATTATGACATTTTTGGACAAATCTGTTCTCTCCCAAGGACTTCTCCCCTCTTAACTATAACCCCTACATGTTAAAAAATCCTCTTCCCATAAATTCCTTTCTCTGTCAACTACTTTGGTAATAACTGGGGACTGAGCCAGAGGTCATAGCTTTTACTTTGTGATGTATCTTGCAGATCCTCCAGAAATCAAGGCTGGACCAGAGGAGTCAGCAGAATTCACTGACACGCTCAAGCTTTGTCCTCATGAAGAATTCCTGAGACTGAACAAAGAAAAGGCTGGAGAGGTGCTGTGCTTTCTTCTTGAAAGAGAGAGAGAGAGAGAGCGAGAGGGCGAGAGAAAGAGAGAGAGCAAGAGAGCGAGAGAGTTACTTCTTCTAAATGAACAATTTCTTAAAACACTAGATCTCAGGGGCAATAACAATCTTTTTTATAGGAACTTTGAGTAAAATGGAGATCACCTGTTCTTGCCCTGATTCCAATTCCCTTTCAACCCCATGATAAAGTGCAGATCCTTCTCTTTGTCCATTTTTTCATTGTTGTTTATATCTTCTTGGTATTTATGGCAATTTAGCTGTAGTCTAGGAATCAAAATATTTATGAAATACCGTAGCTGACCAGTAATTCTTTGTATTCTAGCTGAAAATTGTAGACATTGGACATGAAGCATTTTGAAAAATATATATAAAATTCAAGCTGACAAAGTATTATAAATTGATGTGTTAAAAAACAGTACCAGAACAGGAATGTTACCAGAGTAAAAGATTTTCATGAATTTGTTCTTGGCTGGAACCAATAGGAAATGTCTCCAAGTTTGTATGAAATTTGATCTAAATCTTGATTGACAAGAACTATTAGAGTAAGTGGAAAGTAGTGAAGAGAAGGGGAAGATAATAATTATCCTAATTTCATCAAGCTTGTTTAAGTAACCATCCCAGACATGTCCTGGTTCCTGCTTTGGGCTCTTGAAAATTATTTCACTTCCTAACACCTTCTATTGTCAACCTAATCCACTGCAAAGTGAGAGGAAAGCAATGTCTTTTGGTAGAGGTTATGAGAGAAGACAGTTATATGAGTTCTTTATAAATCAACACTGATTACTCTATGGAAATTTAAAAGAGACTCAAGTAAGCCAAATTCACAGAATATCCATTCCTGCAGATCTATCCAATCAAAGAGAAGGACTGTACTCGCACTCGTCTGGCTCTTATTATATGCAATATAGAGTTTCAGCATCTTCCTCTGAGGAATGGGGCCAACCTTGACATTGAAGGCATGAAGAGGTTACTTGAGGACCTGGGCTATAGTGTGGATGTGAAAAAACAGCTCACAGCCTTGGTAAGGACCCTTCAGTCACCCAAACACATTCATAATCAACACTCATTTCCTTTTAACAAATTATCTTTCTAACTATAGGCAAACACTTTAACAACCGCAGGACACATTTGTTTGTGTGTGTAAAATGAAGGTATCAAATAGTTGAAATCAACTTTATTTTTAGCTCCAAATATTCTCAATTCCATACAATTGAATAGAAGTGCTTGATGTGCATGCCTACACTATTCCTGGCTCCAAAGTGAGACGAGTCCTGCCTCTTGTGTCAGGTCATTCTCTAAGTGAGACAGGAAGTTTCTAGCTAGTCATTAGTCTCATGTTCTAGTAAAAGAGGCAATAAAAATGTAAAGCAAACAGACAATTTCAGAAAGTGGTGAGTAAAAAGAAAACATAAAAAAGGAAACGTGACAGAAAAGAGAGGGAGAAAGGAAAACAAAGCATGAGAGTGATGTGTGATGTTATGACCAAAAAGCCTCTTTGAGTAGATCACATATGAGCCCAGTCATAACTGCCAGGAAAGAAACAGCTCCGGAAAGATATGATTGAAGTGCAGATCCAAGAAGGGGCTCTACAGGTGAAAGATCTGAATGGAAGGTGAAATTGGCACATGAAGGGCACAGCCAAAAGACCAGTGTGACTGGAGTCCTTCGGAGAAGGAACATGATGGGAGGGGAGAGAACAATGAGGCTAGAAGTTTTATTCTAAGCACGGTGAGAAAGGCTTTTAGAGGAACGTAGTATGGTGTGTTTATGATATAAAACTCTTGTTGGATAACAAGGGGAAGAAATGGAGATGGAAAGGAAAGTGGCAATAAGTTCAAGTAAAATATATCCAAAGGCCCCTGGGTGGTAAAAATTGTTAAGTACTCATCTGCTGACTGAAAGTTTGGAGGTACATACCCACCCAGGGATGCCCCAGAAGAAAGACCTGCCATCCTTCTTCCAAAAAATCAGTCAATGAAAACCCAATGGCACACAGTTCTACTCTGACACACATGGGAGCACAGCTTTAATTTGACACATATGGAATTGCTATGACTCAGAATCGACTCAATGCCAATTGGTTAGTTAAAATGTATCAAGTGGACAGTTTATAGTATTTCAGCAGGAGCAAAAAATCAGAACACACTGTCCTGTTATAGAAATAAATACAGTACAAAGTACAACTATCATCACTGAGTAATTACTATGTGTGACAGGGATTATACATATGTTTCTTGTAATGCTCATAGTAAGTTTAAGAGGTTAGATAAATGCCAATGTTTGTACAATTACATAAAACTTGTTGGTCCTTTTTAGGAGATGCAGTCAGTACTACAGGCATTTGCTGCCCTCCCAGAACACAAGTCCTCAGACAGCACATTCTTGGTGCTCATGTCTCATGGCATTCTAGAAGGAATATGTGGAACTATGCACAGTGAACAACAACCAGACGTGTTACCTTACGACACCATCTTCCGAATTTTCAACAATCGCAACTGCCTCAGTCTAAAGGACAAACCCAAGGTCATCATTGTCCAGGCATGCAGAGGTGGTGAGTCGTGAGATAGAAAACCCAAAGGTCAAGAAGGAGTTTGCAGAAGATTGTGATGCATATTTCAGATCTAAGGAAGCCAATCTTAAGCTCCATCCAGTATAATTAAATTAAATTGAGTTATTAAAAACCCCTATCTAGAGGGCTGGCATCATGAGAATTTTTCTGGTTTGTTGAAAAGTATCTATACAACTTAATCCTTGTTAAGTGGTAAAGAAGTTCACCAGTACGTCAAAATTAACATTTAACAAAAATAAGCAAGCCTTGAAGTGGAATACTTTTCATGACAACTTTATTTATAAATGTTTTACACATATTTTGACATTTCTGGCCTGAGAGAATTTATTTAAAAGTAGGGCCATTATGTACTAGCAGAATGTTTTTTTCTCATACATTATTGAAAGGGAAAAGAATTGGGAGATAAGGGGTTTAGGGAGATTATAGTCTTTTTTTTTTTTTTTTTTTGACTGCTGGCTATTGTGAACTGTTTGGGAAAATATACAAATACACAACAAAGCAGAAATAATTTAGTTAAAAACTGTTCATTGTTCCGACATTATGCAGTCAAAATTGTAACCCCTTCATTCTTTTGATAAATAAGTTATTCTGGTCTTATGAGATTATCACTACTTATTGACACTTTTCTCAAGACACTAAAAAAGAAGACAGAATGGTGTGTGTGTGCACACGTGTGTGTGTGTGTGTGTGTATGTGAAACTAGTAAGAAAAAACTTTTGCAAAAACTGAGATGAGCGATTGTGATAGTAATACTGGGGGAGACAGCAGAGTATAAATAGTTCATGTCTCTACAGCAAACCGTGGAGAGTTGTGGGTCAGTGATTCTCCATCAGTCTTATCAGACAGCTCTTCAGAGTCACCTGAGAACCTGGAGGAGGATGCTATTCACAAGGCCCACGTGGAGAAGGATTTCATTGCTTTCTGCTCCTCAACACCACGTATGTGACTTGGTTGCAGATGGGGATTTGTGGATCGGAGGCTACCTCTCAATGATTCTAGAAAATAAAGATGGTTCCCCTATAGGAATAATCTGAGAGAAATTTTGAGCCCTGTTAATATATTTTACATTCCTTTCTCTGTGATGTGAAGTTAAAAATTCTTAAAGGGATATTTGTCTATATTTTCCTATTATACTGTGAAAGGCAGCATGGCGAAATCTGGAAACAACATTGGACCTAGGAAACTATTTTTGTTGCACACTCGCTGTGTGAATATGGAGAAGTTACTTGAGTTTCTGTTCTTTACTGTGTAAAAAATTCTAGTTATCTCTCAAGTGTCTTTTCAAAGCCAGTGATTAACGTAAGGCAGATAATAGAGAGGTAGCCAAAACAATCACAATACACTCACAAGGCAATCTCCTGTGCTACTGACAAACTGCCTTTCTAGTTCAATCTCTGCCAGATTTTTTATTTTTCCTGTCTATGAGAAAATGAGTTAATGTAAGGTTATAAGTGCTTCCCTTAAACTAACTGTGAAGAAAATTCCCAAGCTACACTTAAATAAGTAAATAAAAAAATGAAGGTATACCCAAGACTTACCACTCTTTATCTTCATAGATAATGTGTCTTGGAGAGATTCAACAAAGGGTTCTCTCTTCATCATACAACTCATCACATGTTTCCAAAAATATTCTTGGCGCTGTCACCTAGAGGAAATATTTCGAAAGGTAACCTTCTCTTTTAGTAGTGATTCATTCATTTATGCATTCAGGAAGTATTTATTATTATTCACCTTTAAAGAAAATGCCAAACTCTATTAGAGAAACAAAAGTATAGTGGTTCCTAGTCTCTGTTATCTGTGTGTTTGAAACCTGATTTTAAAAAAGAATGTGCTAATATACCACAGCTCCAAATCTAACTAGAACAAAATAATAATAAACACAAGTTTGTATGTTATTGGGCTGTAAGTTCTTAAAAGTCAGAAAAAGGGAAGAGTATTTTCTAGTAATTTTCATTGTTTAACTAATTCAATAAATACATATAGAGTGGCCTTCTAGGTAATAGACATTATCCTGATGAGAGAGGTGGAAATGAGACAGACATGATATAAGCCTACCTGGAACTGACATGTTGTGAGGGAAATGGATATTAAACAAGCATACATGTGAATACAGATTGTTATAAGATCCATGAACAAAAATACTTGGGGCATGTGAGTGAAAATTAAGGGAAGAGACATTCTTTGAAGGTAATGGTCCAAAGGAGAAGATGTGATATTTCTTCCCAAACCTGGAAGATTCCTTCCTTTCCTTCCTGACTTTTCTCTAGAGCTCATCATGTCACCTATTGAGTACATACTTTGTTAGTTTGTTTTACCTGTATTTACTGACTAGAATGCAAGCCTTATAAAGTCAGGAATTTCGTCAATAGCTCACCATGCCTGGCACATACTAGAAAGTCAATTAATATTAAGGATAAATTAATAAATGAATGAATGAATAGATCTTGTTCTTCTTCTTCTTCTTTTTTTTTTTTTTTTGAGGGAAAGTGAGTGGTAGCAGAACACAGGACACTCTGGTTGATTTTAAACTCAAAACCATAAGGAACAGTAGCATTGCTGTGGGAAAAAAGAGATGTTACATTTGGTAGGGTTAGAGAAGATCTTATCATAGCTATAAATGTTTCTGTGAATTGTTGTTGTTGTTATGTGCCGACTCATAGACTCATAGCGACCCCTCCTTGGGTTTCCGAGGCAGTATCACTATGGAAGTAGATTGCCCCAGTAATCACTATGGAAGTAGATTGCCCCATCTTCCTTCCGAGGAGTGGCTGGTTTCTGTGAATAGGTACCTGTAAAATGAGTCCTGGTGAGTAAATAGGAATTAGATATTGTACTTTTAAGGGTACTCTTGACTGAAAATATAGCAGATTTTGGGAAGTAGGATTTCATTGATCAGTACATGGTAGAGAGCTGCAAAGATGTGTTTTGATGGGGGAATATGAAAGTTGCTCAGGTCTTCCTGGAGTCCTGGAATTTTATTCTCGAGGGACTGAGGGATCATTCATAGCAGGGATCTCTGAGATCCAGTTCCCACAAACAAAAAAAATAGGAGAAATGGAGATTGAAGCATTTGGTCACATGTAAAGCGTTGGTTTTGAGGTAAAAAGCACAGTCTGATACGGGTGTTGCTTTTATGAGTAGAATGGAAGCGTCAAGGAATTAGAATTTCTTTGAGCTTGGTACCATCAACCCTAGGAGCACCCTTCCTTCCCAGCATTTTCTACTCTGATGTGCAAAATATTCTCTATCAATACACAAAAGGCAAGTCTCATCTGGAAGGTTTTTGTTTTATTTTTTTAGGTGCAACGGTCATTTGAAGAACCAACTGTTAAAGCGCAGATGCCCACTATTGAACGGCTCTCTATGACAAGATATTTCTACCTCTTCCCTGGCAATTAAAAATAATAAGTATCAACAGTTTTTATTGACAAGTGAAGTAAATGGGAAAGTAATATGGGTTATGAAGTCCAATGACCAATGATAACTGATTGAATAAATAGTCAACTTAATATTCTTTGTTGATATATCCTGCTCCCATCCTTAAAATCAATAAATCAAGTAAAAGCAAGTCTGGGAGGGATTAACAATGAAGAACAGAGAGTAGCATTTACTATAATGGAAATGTAGCCCTGCTTCCATTAATACTTTTTCTGCTTTCACTCTCTTTCTTCTTCTTCCTCTCCCTCTTTCTCTCTCATTCATACACACACACCTACCCCCCCACACACACACATACAAATATCCATAAGCATTGACACACACTGAGTTACAAAACATTCCATTAGATCTTGGAAAAACTGGAGGAGCTGACCATGGAGAAATCACTACTATGGCTCTCTGAGTGCATGGATAAAGGATACCATGGATAAAGGATACCACATTACAAGCATTGAGCTACCATATTAGGAGCTCTGGTAGCATAGTGGCTAAAGCACTTGACTGCTAACCAGAAGGCTGGCTGTTCAAACCCACCAGCCACTCCTAGGAAGGAAGGTTGGGCAATCCTACTTCTGTAGTGATACTGCCTCGGAAACCCCAGGAGGGGTCGCTATCAGTTGGGGCCGACTCGAAGGCACATAACAACAAACAAAAACAACAACCATCTTCAGACAGTGTAAATCACATCCAGGATTGTGAGCTTTATGGTGATTCAGTCTCTGGTTCTGACTATTCTACCAATGTAGATCCCAGACCACTTAGTCTTTTCTCAGACCTTCAATTACTATTACTATTTTAAAAACTCCTTCAAGCATTCATATTAACATTTAAACATTTTTAGGTTATAATATTTTCAAATATTTCCATTTAAGAGAGAGTCAACAATTACTTTATTCATAACTGTTGTATATCACATTATAAGTGTATTGGTATTCTCACTCTCAGAAATACACTTCAAATTATACTTACCCAGATCATCTCTTACTCCAGGTTACCGACACCAATAACACAATTGCATAGATAACTCAGAAAAATGGCTTTCAGTATCTAATTAGTTCTATACTACCACATATGGATATTGAGTTGTTTATTTAACTAAATATTTAACATGTGTCAGCTTCTGCTCTTGATGCTTAGAATATACTAATAAATAAAGTAAATGGAGTTCTTGCTCTCAGAAATCTTATAGTGCCTAAGGCATTTGACTGCTAACCAGAAGGCTGGGGGTTCAAACCCACCAACCACTCCTTAGAGGGAAAGTTGGGCAATCTACTTCCATAGAGATATCACCTCAAAACCCAAGGAGGGGTTGTTATGAGTAGAATCAACTTGATGCTAGTGAGTTTGAGTAAATAGAGGCAGACCCTAAGTACAGAGACAAGTAAATATATGTTAGAGAATGAGAAGACCTAAGAAGAAAAATAATGGAGAATGAGGAGACACTGAGTTTTTTACTGCTATAGACTGATTTTTCAGGTAAGGCTTTTTTGAAAAAATGAAATTAGAACAAAGACTTGGACAAAGTGAGAGAGGGAACCTTGTGTCCTAGACTGGAAAAGTGTCTCAGCACAAGGAATAGGAACTATGAATGTCATGAGGAAGTATGTTTAAAGAACAGCTGGATTACAGTGTGGTAGGAGGATTAGAATGGGAGCATGATAGGAGACACATTTCAAAAATTGTAGAGAAGCCAATATGCATGGGCTTTAGTGATCTTTTGACATTTCTGTTTTGAGTGAGATAGGAAACCACTAAAATGTTTTGAACAGAGAAGTGAGAAAATACAACTTAGTATAACTTAAGGTTTAGTAAAAAAAAAAAAAAAAAAACCTTACTGATATCGAGTAAATTCTGACTCATAGTGATCCCCATTGGGTTTCTGAGGGAGTAAATCTTTACAGAAGTAGATTGCCCAACCTTCCATCTGAGAAGTGGCTGGTGGGTTTGAACAGCCAGCCTTCTGGTTAGCAGTCAAATGCCTTAGGCACTATGCTACCAGAGCTCCTTATTATTTTGGTGAATAAACTATAGGGCTCGAGGATAGAAATAGGAATATCATGAAATTGGCAAGAGCACATAGAAGAGAAGAATTATGATGAAGGATGGGTTGAAGATTACAAAGTACAATTATCTTGACCTTCAGTTCTTTCTCCCTTCTGCAGGAATCACAGGCATCCCCACCTTTTTTTTTTTTTTTTTTTCTTTTTTTGAAAATTGTCTTTCATCAGTCAGAAAGAACCACGACTGCTCTTGGAAGCTCAGGATACTTGTGTGTGATGGCTTTTTGATTTGTTGTCTTGTCTAAACTGAACTAGTATGTCCAGAGTTCTCTTTCTAGAATATTTTCTGTTAAGATGAGCTACAAGGGATATTCTTTACCAAGAACTGGAAGACAGAAGAAACCAGAGGAGTCTACAAAGTCCACCAAACTCTGTTAATACCCCAACCTTGCTCCTGCTGAAATCTGGTGCCAGGGCCTCATCCACTTTTTTTCTAATCAACTTCAGGAAGCACTTTTGCCAAGTACAGCATTCTTATTTAACTTTTTTATATCTCAATAAAAATGAAACCAAAATTACTGTGTCTTTTGAGTTCTCTTTTATAGAATAGCATTTCAATAAACTAATGAGGGGTATGGGAGCTCTGGTAGCATAGTGCCTAAGGCACTTGACTGCTAACCAGAATGCTGGCGATTAAAACCCACCAGCCACTCCTCAGAAGGAAGGCTGGGCAATCTACTTCCGTAGTGATACCACCTTGGAAACCCAAAGAGAGGTCGCTATGAGTCAGGTCTGACTCGATGGTACATAACAACAACAACAACAGTGAGTGCGTATAAATGAAATGGAAGAAGCTAGATGGATTTTCTAGCATCAAGTTCATATAATATCTGTCCTTTACTGAGTGAAGAGAACTGAACATGACTTTTCCTAGCAATAGGGAGGGAACAGATGATGCTCATCCAGAGACAAGAACTACAAATTGGTCAGCTCTTCATTTGTGTACTTATTTAAGTACTGAATCTAGAATGGTCCAAAATAAATTCTTTAATTTATTCTTACCCTACATCATAAATTGACCTAAGTTTTTCTTCAATAAAATCTTCTGATATTAGTAAATTATTCATATTCACCATTCTTTCTTCCTACTCTAATTCATTTTATTCTTAGTTTTTCTTTTCAGACATCTGCATTTTTCAAAACTCAGGAAAATATTATTCTTTAGCAAGCACTTGCTAGTACCCAAAATAAATTGGACTTCTCGCTCAAGATGGTGTAACCTTACTGTAGTTTTTGATGAACAAAAACATATTTATATAAAGGACAGCAGTGAGGAGAGAGAGTGTCAAAATTGGAAAAGACAAGTTTTAAATTTCTGGAAGAGTGAAATGTTGGTAAAGAATTTCAAGAACATAGCTACAATTAGGTGCACATAAAGGGTTGAAAAATTATTTTAGCACATAGCTGAACTGGATTTAAAAATAAATGAGTGCTCTATATGCTAAATACCAGCCACTCCTCGGAAGGAGGGTTGGGCAATCCTACTTCCGTAGTGATACTGCCTCGGAAACCCAAGGAGGGGTCGCTATGAGTCGGGGCCGACTCGACAGCAAACAACAACAACAACAACACCATCAAGCTGATTCCAACCCATAACGGCCCCCATTTTAAATCTTTATTATTTGATATCTTCTAGGAGCTATAGTAGCATAGTTCCTAAGGCACCTGACTGCTAATCAGAAGACTGGCAATTCAAACCCACCAGCCACTCCTCAGAAGGAAGGTTGAGGAATCTACTTCCATAGTGATACTGCCTCAGAAACCTAAGAAGGGGTCACTATGAGTCAGGTCCGACTCAACAGCACCTAATAACAACAAGCATTCAACTCAAAGAGTATGAATAGTACTAAATCAAAAAGAATTTTTTTTTTTTTTTTAATTGGTTAGGTGCCGTGGAGTGATTGGTAGACAAGTGGAGCACATAACAACAACAACATATGCTAAATATAATCATAATAGATAATATTTGCATAGATTGTGTACCAATATTACCATAAGGGATTTTATATAAAATCAACTAGTTTAATTCTCAGAATAATGCAATAAAGTAATTAGTATCAATACATCTATTTTATAGATGATGAAACAAAACAAAAACAATAACAACAACAAGAAACATAGAGCTTAACTGACTTACTCAAAGTCACAGAGCTAGTTAGTGACAGCACTGGAATTCAAAGATTCTGGACACTATGTTCTTAACCACCATCCTGTATTGCTTCTCTGAAGCAAAGAGAGACTGATAGACTGGATTATAAAAGTTAACTAACACTGAAAGTTCCAGTAAAATGGCAGAATAAGCAAACCACACAGACTCTCTTCAACAAAGAAAAGAGGAACCAATTAACACAGATACAGAAGATAATCCTGGAGCCCTAAGCTTTGGGAGGAAGGATACAGAAGTGGACTAAACTCTAACTAGTAGAAGAACCTGCATGAAAACAACAAAAATAAGACATGTGGAGCTGCGGGCTGTCAGCGATGCTGATGGCATGGATGGCTTGGATATTGTCAAGTGGTGGAAGGACCTAAGAATTAACTTAGAAATCAGCCCTGCTAGCCAGGTCTGTATGGAGGACTGCACTGGTGACAGGTGAATAACAGGGGACGCAGCGAAGAGGGAGACGAGTTGAGCGCTGGACTTTTGGTTGTCCGGAGGGCACAGTCATTTGGAATGTTTACAAGGCTGTGGACCATTTTGGATATTTAAAGCAACAAAGTTCTCTCAGATTCCAGGGATCTGAGAATAAGTTCCACTTGCCAGGGACTGCAAGGACATACCTGACAGAGGACTAGAAAAATGTGGTATTCTCCTTGTTACTCTTAAACCTCACACCCTCTTGGATGGACAGAAGTGTGGCCATCATTCATTCCCACATACCTTCTGGGCCAGCAGGAATT